AACCTGTCAAGGGTTTAGCTGTCAGACAGATTTATGGACGACCTCAATATCGCTTCTGAGAGAAACGTCGGCTGAAGCACAGCTTCAGTATCAAGCAACCGTGCTGCCCGGAACTACTTAGCTAAAGCCGACCGATAGTGAATTAATGTATGATGTTTGGCAGAAAGACTGATCACATTTAAGTGATTATGGTGCAGTTCATTCACCAAGGCCCAAACCAGGACATTAAGAAAAAGACTTCGGGCGTACGCTTGCCAAATGAGCTAATCTAGATAAAGTTTGGAAGCGATGTAATACTGCCATGCTATCAGAAGTTGCCAGTACTGAAGCATATGTATGTAGCACATGATACTCGTAAACACACACACAAACACACACACACACACACACACACACACACACACACACACACACACACACACACACACACACACACACACACACACACACACACACACACACACACACACACACACACACACACACACACACACACACGCATAAGCACACACGCAAACACGCACATACATATACATGAATGAAAATAGATGTACAGAGGTGAAGTCGGCTGTTTCCAGGCAGGGTGTACACAGACAGAAGAGTTTGTCAGAAGTACCAAATGGTGTTATCGCGGAATTTCGGTCGCAGGAGGCTTGTTGATGCCAAGTTTGTATGGCCGATCTCTCATGATCACTATTAAGGTGCATGAGTCTGACAATACGAAGCATGAGCCAGGAGCAATAGCGTAGTCAGGATTTTGCCAACGAGCGCAACAACTCTGGCTTCGCTGTTGTAACACCCTAATTCGCCCCTTAAAAGATACCGTTTTCCTTTGGGGGCCTGTTTAGGCCTACAATCCGGTTTTGATACTTAGAGAGCTCACTTCTTTATGTTTTAGAACACATACGGCTGTCTTAAACCGCCAAAAATCTCTGCGGCCTTCGGTTCAGCTGGCCCCTGTCACTCCCAAAGAGGGAGAGGGGAGGGGGATAAAGGCCCGAGAGCACCTCCCTGGCTACGCCACTGGTCAGTAGCATAAAAGTGAGTGCCGCAGTTTCCAAGGTCTGCCAACTGAACTAAGGAACAAAAAAAGTTCAGGAGATCTTGCAAAGAAACAACGAAAAATATATAAAATATGGCATTTCTTCAGTCACGCTTTATAAAACACCTGCAAAGCCTTGCTAACTGAACAATATTTGCGGGCTCCTGAATGAAATGACGAATCGCCATACATTACGTAATGTCTGAGTGCTGTGGCTGCGGTGGAGAGGCGGCTCACGCACTGACGACTCTAAGCTAATAGGGATGCCCGTTGTTGTTTGCCGAGCATGGGCATGGCATCGGCACGGCGCTGAACCCCTCATACATTTGAACCTACTTTCCTTAAAAAACATCGATTGATAGCTGTACGTTAAAAGCACATGATAAAACATATGGATGCGCGAGGCTCTTGGCACCATAATAAAAACTAAAGGGTTTATTTCCGCATCGTGCGACCAATATTGACGTTTTCGGTAAGCGCTCGTGATCCAACTATTGCTCCTGCCAGAATGTCGTTTATTTGTCAAGTGCAAGACCAAGTTGGTCTTGTCACAGTCTACTGCGTTAGTACGCGTCGACAGGTCTGGATGAGAGCTCCCGTGATGAGCAGTAACCCACAGTAACCCAATGCGGTGTCCTGAGAGAAATTAGCCATTAGAGATATGACAACCTGACATTCTTCCATCTCGTTCGCGTGACTTACATGCTAAATACGTGAGATCCCTCCCAACCATCCCATCCATAATTTTGGTGCCAAGCAGAGTCGAGACTAGGTCAGACGCGTAAACAAGATGAACCGTGCACTCGTGCGCAGGCACTAAATGCACATCTGAAGCGTTATCGATGAAATCGGAGCTTGTTGCCAAAACGTCTCTGAAAATTGCTAGCTCCACGGGAATGCATCTTGACTCAGCTAGGCTGTAAACGGAGAGCGCCAGCGAGCGACTTGATGAATATCATTCGGCAAATCGTTCTCGTATCGGAAGTAGAGAACCGGTCCCGCCTGGCTGCAATGTTTGTGATCCAGCTGAGGCGTCACTCGGTGTGAGATGCTTGAGCACCACATGCTTGATCATCACATCACAGCCAGATGCTTGGGCACGCTGTAATCATATCGTTTTACAAAGAACACACGCCAGCGTCTCCGTTCTGACGGATCTCGCACACAAACAGTCGTAACGAGCGGGCCTGGGTGTCCCCAAGAGTCTGCGCAGCACCGTCTATGGACAAGGCTGGGAACTATTAGTTACGGCGCGACCGTCAGTGCCTACAGGCTGCTCGACCGCCCGGTGGTTGAACACAAAATGTTACCGATTGGATGCCGCGGGATTGCACAACGACATACACCGCAAAAGTTGTCAATCTTCTGCTCCGAAGTGAAATGGGTGTTTCGCTGCATTAAAACATTCTGAGATATGATAATAACTTTTACAGGTCAGAGCAGCACAGCCTGGCATGGTCTGGACATGTGTTACATGCAGATGTCCTGAGACGAACGGTTTTTACGTTCTCTCATTGGTCCCGTGGTGGACGCATTAAACACCTTCTGGTAGCATTTCGTCAATAAACCTCAATAAGCCTGTCAACAAACCTCACACAAAGTTTTAAGCTCCTACCAGAAATACCAGAAACCATACCACGGCACGTCATTTCCTTGGTACCATCCTAAATAGGTTTCCTGCGTGTGGTCCATGCTGCGTGCATCCTCTTGCACCGTAGCGGTACAGCGCATACATCAAAGTTGGACAGTCTGGGTATCCGTGCGGTCTGAGACTAAATTTAAGCTTCATTAATGTCGGACGACGGCGGGCATCGGTGAAAAGGTCACATCTGATTCCGGGACCAGGAATAAGCTCGCGCTGGGTCCTATGTCCAAAATCTCCATTAACTATGGATGACCGTCGCATCAAAAATAGCAGGAGAAGATAGATGAGAGCATCCATCTTGTCGGGTCACCTTTTGCAATGCAGATGCGGTGCAATTTAAGCTGGCCGTCACCGTGTCCCTCGCTTACGTCTGATCTCACATTGCTTTAACCGTATTTTTACACGGGTTTTCCCAGACGATACCAGCGTAAAATAGACTTGAGTAATGTGAAGACAGGTATGGATAAAACAAACATCATTACGCCTTGTCGTGCCACTGGATCCGATTATAAATAATCATCTCCCCTTTGAGTTGCTGCAAATCGTCTCCATGCTGTACGCAATATGCGTGTTAGTTACTGTGATGCCCCGAGGCGATGTGTGCGCTAACATGACAGCAACGTCTTTCGTTGTTAAGCCGTTTATTTGCGTTGGGCACTGAAGCTTCCCTTTGTTCGCGAACAGACGGTAGCGTAAACCCACACGTACTCCCGTCAACTCGCTCTGTAGTTTTCAGATGGTTATTTTTGCCTTCGACTTATATTTTCGTTATTCAAATATTGACTAATGATCATTATTATAACGTAAACTTATTATATTTTTGCCGTCGACTCGTCAGGTTATCTTTTTTGTCGATGACCTCCTGACCTCCAGTCATCTCATCCGTCGTCCATTGCTTTTGTTTCTCGCTAGTTCGTGTTTCTCCACAGGAGAGTGCCTTTGGCTTAACAAATGTTCATCTGACAGTTCGCTGAGCTTTTCGATCTGCGACTTGGACCTACAATGTGGCGAAACACCCCAGAAGGCAAATAATTACGGAGACCCACGAATGGTAAAAGGCTGCTAAACTTCTGGAATGCGTTTAGAAGTTCTGGAGCTTCAAAAATAGCTCAGACTCCAAGACAGTGTTACCGGTGCCAGAGCCGAACTCAGGGGACCCTCAGCACGATAAGAACTTCAGCAAACAGTTTTCTGAGTCATGACCAAGTTTTAGAAAACCGCAACTCTTCTAACCTGATAGCACTGCTCAGAATAGCCCGTTAATGTCACAGTGATACCATACCGACGGAATGATACTGTGGTATTACAGGAACGTTCAAATTATCACCTAAGTGATGACTATCCCGTAAACATATTACTACAGACACTTTTGGTGGCCTGCATTATTGCAACTACCCAGGCACATAGCCCAAAATTTTCCTGCGGAGTCGGGGCCACATGGAAAACCGTCTCCCCAATCTTGCGAACGTTGACTAAATTCCAGCGAAATCGCCTGGTATCTGGTGCAAACATCTTGGTTCAGGGCATGACCACCTGCCCCTCCCCCCCCCACCCACTCTACCCTTGACTACGTCCTTGCAACAACGGTACAACAGGTAGGGCAGCACGGGCTTCCCATAGACGAGTTGGGATCATTGTCATATCGGCTTGATTACCAAGACCAGTTGCTCCTTTCTGACTGGGATCCTATGTATGTGCCTAAATATCAGCCGTCAATGTAAACCAGTCACACCCTTTTCAGGCCACCATTCCCCGCGTAATCAGTCATCCTTATCCTCCTTCTATTGAGTACGTCCGCGCGCCTTAACCCGTGTGATTGCTTGTACCACCTGCCTCATGCAGCGCTGTCATACCTAGCATCACTACGTGTCGTACATATCATCCATCCGTTTAGAACATAGCTCCCCTCCGACCCATACATAGCATCCGCCCGTATCGCATGTAGCATTCGTCCGTGCCTTACAAAGCATTCGTCCGTGCCGTGCATAGTATCCGTCCGTGCCCTGCTTAGCATTCATCCGTGCCGTATACATCATTCGTCTGTGCCGTCTCCCCGTCTCGCCCACTCCGCCCGTCCACGCGCAGCATCCGTTCGTGGCGTCCGTTTAATCCATCCGCGCCAGCCTGCTGTGACCCTCACCCGTTCGTGTCGTCCGTCCGCCCCGAGCGGCGGTGGGACGCGGCGGTCCGTGTCGCGCGGCCCAGTGGGCCGCCGCGTGAGCGCCGCGCCGTGACGGTAACGTTACTTGCGGCGACCGTTACAACGCCGGCCGGGGGCGGCGCGCGCCGCCGCCGCGCTGTCCGCCTCCCGGCTCCGTCCCGTGCACAGCTCCGCGGCTCCGCAGCTCCCGCCGGCTGCCGACGCACGCCAGACGCGCTCCAGACGAGACACAGCGGGTCCGAGACAGCCGAGGTGAGCACAGCCGACCGCTCGACCCGCGGCCGGCAGCGGCGCTGGTCCAGGCCGCGGACGGCTGCTGAGCCCTCCCTGAACGCGGTGACCGCCTGTGTATGGAGTCTGAGCCTCAGGGACTCGTGTCTGCGACGCGTGGGCCGCTTTGTTCTGAGACACGTGCTCATGATCGGAGTGTGTATACGAATTATTAACATCGTAGGCGTCGTGGGTCTCGGATGGCCGGCATTCGCAGACGGTCGACATCATATCCCCAGTCGTTCAAGGCGGGCTGATCTTCTGGAAACGTGCTCGTTATGTATGCGAACTCGCTAGAATATGAATGCCGCACGATCCCCTCTGCGCTGCAGTGGGTAGGTGGGAGGTCTGAGGGCTGAAGATTAACTTTGCCAGACTTTTCCTCGACGGGCTCCCACCCGGGAGATGACAGCAGCTGTGGAATGCTCGTCCTGTCGCGGCGGGATTAGGGCTCTGAAAAGTGTCAGTTTTCGTAGACTCACGGGCGTGCTCTACCTTTAACATGGAAAGGACACTTCGGTCTGGTGACCCAGGCCGAGTGCCTCTACCCGCACCCCCCCCCCCCCCCCGGCTGGGGGTGTGTGCGGTTGCCCGCTCTTGGTCACCGAAGCGGTCCTCTCCTCCCGGAAGAGAGAAATCAAGGTAGCGCCACCCTTCGCCTGCTATGCCGAACACCCTGACTGCAAGCGTGTTGTTCAAATCGTACTCCAATGGTACACAAAATGGACCATCTTCCAAGTGATGTGCTGAAGAGGTGTGCTTTCGTAAAACAGCAGCCCTGCTAATCTGATGGCGTGCTGATGAGTCCGCTGACGTCACAGCGATGCCATCCCGACAGAAGGATGCTGTGGTATTACAGAGGCGTTCAGTTTGTCACTTAAGGGATGGCTATCACGCAACCATGTTACTACAGTCGCTTTTTGGCGGCTTGCATTAGTGCAGCTACCCAGGAACATGGCCCATGATTGTACCCCTTAACCCTGCCAGGCTTAGTTAAACGGGTGATATATACGAGACGGACCAATGCTGAGTACGACACGGCCGGATACTATGCAGGACACGACCGTATGCTTTGTACGGCACGGATGAACACTATGTACGACAAGGGCGGATGTTATGCATGTATAGGTCCGACGGATGCTATGAACGACAGCGACGGGTGAGGCGGGTGGCACAAGCAGTCGGATGGGTTGAACTCATTCTTAACGGAAAATCTTCCGAGTGACTACTTACCAGAAAATGCATTGATTGTGGGCCAAAGGAGATTTGTTATAAAAGGAAGGCTCGCATAAACATTGGTTCTGTTTATGTCGGTAGAAAATCAGATTATCTGATGCTCCGAGTAAGTAATTTTGCAAACGAATGTAACAAACGGAAAACATTGTGTTCTTGTTTGCCACCGCATGAAATGATCATCAGGTTCGCTATATGCCTTTGCCATGCTAAAAGAACGCGCTTCAGACCACCTTTATTATGTTATTGATGAACTTGAACTACAGCATCACAGATGCCCATTCGCTCATATATCCAGTGGCTAACAAGCTAAATAAGCACTCACTGGCGTGGCTCCAATCAAATTATACTCGCCTTGTTTCTCGACGCACTGTGTCGTACGTCTTCATCCGCGCATAATGCTTCCAGTATTAAAAGCTCCTACTCCGATAGTCCAGTCTGAGCGCTGGTAGCCTGACTAAATCAATACGGCGACTGTTTACGCGTGTCTTAGCTGACCACACCGAATCTAATTTGCGCGTTTTACTTCGGCTCTAGTTATGAAGCCCGCTACACCCCCTCACTGATAAGCATACATTACTGGCATATCACGGAGGCGACCGCATCACCGAGCGCCGCATATTTCCGCTGCGGCGCTGGTCAGGCCGTCATCAGCTGATTGCTGACCTCCATGGCTCAAGCGCGCTCTGCCGCCTTGTTGCGCTGCATCCCCGCGTAATAGACTGCACGTGTGCAGTGGGAGAACAGCAGCGGCGTAGACTGTGACGTGGGAGCTGTAGTTTCTACTCTCGGCGGATTTTCACGCCAAGGATGGCACTCGATGGCCTTGCGTACTAGTTAGCTTCCACGCGTCTTCATTCGGGCCCATTCGCGGCAAGATTTGACTTACCAAGAAGCCTCTGCTCTCGTCCTCTCTGCGTTCTGACATGAATGATCGCGTCAAATTATCTTTGCCTTGGTAAATGCAGATTATACAAATTCACTCGGAATGCACCTGCCGTCCAATATCACTGAAAAGAATGCCGAGCTCCTTCAGTCTCTCAATGGATGGCCTTTCTATTAACAGTTCATCACAGCTCGCGTTGAGTCTGATCGATTTGTCGAACATCGACCAACCTCCAAGCCGCGACACTCTTCTCTCTTCCCCCTCCCTCCCACTACCTGAATCGGTTTAAGCCATCTTCCCATCGCCGCTCCACGCATTTTGCCTGCTCCCGTCACCCATCAGCCGTCGGCCCGCCGTCGGCCCGCCGTCGGCCTGCTGTCGGCCCGCCGTCGGCGTGGTTACGGCTCGGTCGGGGCGGGTCAGCCTCACTGCTGCCTAACGGTGCCCCACGCCCCCGGCGCGTGCCATGCAGCGGTCTAGTTGCAGCGCCGGCGTGCCGTACAAACGCGGCGCCTCGCAGGCACGGAGCGCCGTGCCCGGGGCGCCGCACGAGTAGGTGACCGGCGGCGCGGAAGGGCCGCTTCCGGCGCGAGAAGGTCGAAGGCCGGCTGCCAGCTCGCTGCTCTAGTCGAAGTTAAGACGCTTGGAGCCCGGTCAGCTCCGCGCTGTCAAAACGGATCAACAGCTGGGTGCGAGACCGCATGACGACATGCCCAGTCGTGCGCATTTGCAATGGTTCCCAAGACCTATAGTAACGCCGTGATGTTAACGATGTGTTACTGCTGACCGGCAAGCTGGCTTGCAAGCTCTTTAGTCAGCGGTGAAGTTGTACGTAAGGTGCAATGCTGTTCTTGACACATAATTTGCAATGACATAAGTCCGTCAATTGCATGTGGAAATCAAGATAGTGGGTGCGATGTGGTTGTTATAAAAGTGAGCATTGCAAACTTTTTGTTGGTTAAATGCCATCCATACAGCTTTTTACATTGACAATGTGAGCTACTTCACCGACGTGAGAAACAAGGTGACAGATTGGCGCCATGTTACAGACGAGCTAAATTCCTCCGGCACAAAATGCAAGTGGCTTTACTCCAATCATTGGCAAGCTCTCTCATTAGATTGCAATAGGCCCCGCCTGCATTACCCGGTCAGACGACTGGAAAATCATTGGGAACTCACATACGAACGTGTTTTTACAGTATCAAGTTTTCCTGACTCCTACCGACTTCATGCAAGCTTTGCCTATTTGGGACATTCTGAACATCATGGCCGTACAGCATGTGTGTGAAATGCGTGGTAGCTTCCATACGACTGGTTAGCCACCCGAGTCACAAACCTCAGACTTCCATCCCGCATGTGCCCGCCTGACCCGTCCGACCCCATCTCCGAGCTCGCCGGGTCTCCAGGTCACGCGGTCCTGGCCGCCGAGCGTGACGATGCCAGCCGGGTCACGAGCTGGCGCGGCGCGACCAGGCCAGCCCGGTCACGAGCCGGCCGTCGTGAGCGGAGAGCGGACCGAGGCGGCGCCGGCGCAGCGACCCGTGACGGCCGTCGGTCCCGGTCACTGGGCCTCGGCTGAGGCTGCTGACGTCATAGGCGCGTCCAGGGGGACGGCGCTCGTGCATGACCCGTGGTTGGTGATAATGCCGTGTGGTAGGAGGATATTGTATCGATGGCTGGCATTAAATGTCTAAAGCCATGACAATGGCAACGCCAATTCAACGCGGAATTAAATGTCATTGTCATAATTCCCAGAATCACCATTCTCTAACAATCATCGCCTAATCACCAGTCTGCCGCTGCGTGCGCCCCTGGCGAGGGTTCCGTCAGTGTCCGGAGACACGCCGTCCGTTTACGGTGCCCCCCCCCCCCCCCCCACACACACACTCGGTCGGGTCAGGGGGCGCCGGCGGGTCCAGCAGCGGCGGCCGTGCGGTGCAGTGAGGCGCATCGCCATCACGTGCCGGCGACGGACACCGCTGGCGGCGGGCTGCCCAGCGCGCCGCTCCGGCGGACCGCGCCCGGTCGGCCGGCCACCAGCCGCATCAGGCAGCTGCGGGGAGCGGCGAACGGTACCCCGCCGAGCGGCGGCGGCGCGCGCCAGCTGCTGCGGTCCCGCTCGTCATGGGCAGATGCGCCGTCGGGACGGTACAGAGCAGACGGCGACGAGGACGGGATGAGCCCGGGATATGACTTCACCGGGTATGGAAAGAGATCGGTTGGAGAAGGCATGAAGACATCATCATTGACGCCGAAGCGTTAAAGGCCATGCAAAACGCAAGACGAGAGCCGCAAGGCGCTACAAGACACGGTCCTTGAGCCTTCAGATGGTGTTCCCAGTGGCGGTGTGAATGTATGGTCTGTGCACGGGCGTTGGCATTCTGTTCGATTCATTCAAATCGACTCGGTGATGACAGCTGAGCCACAAACGGAACGACGCGCTAGCCAGAACTGATGATATTGCGAAAACACTGACTGGCGGTCGAACGTCGATGCTCGCTTGGTAGTCACGGTTCGGCCACGAGGCGCATGCCACCTATCCATAAATCTTCGCCGGCCTATGTGGCTCGACTAAGTGCTCAGTTCCGTTTCAAAGGGTCGTTTAAAGTTCACCAGGGCCCGGGCCGTTCGGTGGCGGCTGAGATTAAAGTCTTGAGTAGCGGTCCGAGTCGGTGGTCCTGAACAGCCCACGTGACGTCATCAAATAGCGTGACGAGGCACCAAATGGGGACGACATGAAGCCATTGGTGGACGCACTGGACCACTGACGCTTCGGAACACGGCGGCGAGCCATGTCATCTACCGGGGGTCACGCGATGGGCCGATGGCCGCTGCGCCTGCCATCGCAGACGACGCCTCCAGCTTGAGGAAGCTGGCGGTGCTGCTCATGCAACCGCTTGGCTTCGAAACCTGAACTACCAGGCGATCCGCAGGCCGCAGGACCGGCACCTGAACCAGCCGGGCGATCCGCAGGCGGCAGGACCGGCACCTGAACCACCAGGCGATCCGCGGGCGGCAGGACCGGCACCTGAACCACCAGGCGATCCGCAGGTGGCAGGACCGGCACCTGAACCACCAGGCAATCCGCGGGGCGGCAGGACCGACACCTGAACCAACAGGCGATCCGCGGGCGGTAAGACCGGCGGTCGCTCACCAGACCTCCGTGTTTCAGACGGTCCGTGTCCAACATGAGGTATCAGGGGCTGGTGCTTGCGCTGCTGGTGGTCGCCGGCGTCGCCCAAGATGAGGGGAGGCAGCTGAACCTGGACCCGCTCGGTAAGATTAGCGGTGACTCTGGCAGGCGACCGATCTTGTCTGTTATATGGGCTCCCCCAGCTCGCTGCCGGAGATTCGGATGTTTGAAAGACAGGTTTGCTATGAAATGTCCAACGGACAGCGACGCGTTGGCCCGCCTCAAATCGGTTTATTCAACATTTGGTTGTTGTTCGTTGTGTTTCTGGTTTATCATCTTCACGCGCCATCATTTTCTTCTAGACGATAACGAGCATTCTTGCCATTGCTCTTCGCGGTTCCTGATGGCCACGGTTGCCGTAAATAACATCATGAAAAGCTGGTGGTTAACTCGTCGCGTGGCATAGTTCCTCCACCGCGTTTCATCACGCTTCTCTGCACCCAGTGCAAATCAAGCCGACGTTATTGCCCACCGCAAATATACCACGTTGACGGATGTTCAGATGATCTGTTAGTGAGCACGTGTGGTGAGCGGACATGAATCACGCCAAACGCTCGCCCGTCCGCCGAGAGGTGATCGATCACCACCCATGCCGTTCAGGGCTGGGAGATTCTCTGAAGGAGGGACTGGGACACATCCACAAGACCATGTCCGCCGGGATGGAGCAGGTGAGGCGAAAGACGGATGGGCCGTCACCACGGTGGGAGCGCGGCCCGGAGCATTACGTGTCTGAACAACGTGTTTGTTGTCTTCTGTATGCAGTTACATACCCGACAAGTTCAGGGGGATCGGAAGACAATGCAAAGCTTTAGGCATGTTCTCTTTGTTTGACGTGTCTCGGAATAATCCGCGTTATACGTGAATATGTCAGGCTGCGCAAAGGGAGAGTTGTTGGTTTACCGTAAGTCAGCCACCATTTGTCCTTTTTACGCTTTCTCCAAAACTAATCAAATTGTTGTCGATCACCGTCTACTTGTTTGTGGCCATTGCTCCACGAAGTGCACCTACCTGCGACAGCGCATTTATTTTCCCTGACCTTCGACATATGTCCCGCCTAGTGCCGTACTTTCCACTGTCATGCCCTTATCTACTGACACACAGATGATCGATGACAGCAATGTCACACTTCGACCTCAAGATCACAACTGGACTCGACGGGCTCCGTCCCTTGCAGGGGTACGTCACCCCGACTTAACCAGCCCGCCTCGCGCGTCAGCGCCGGCTGCCGTACCGCGTCGCCCTGACTTCCCCCTGCCGCGTCCGCTTCAGCTGCGCTCCGGGCTGAGCGAGGCCTCACGAGTGGCCTCGATCGTCGGCGAGGACATGAGCGAGAGCTTCAGCCAGGCGGAGGGCGAGCGCGCGGGCGCCGGCGGTCAGCTGCGCCAGCGGGAGAGCCTGCTGGACGGCGTCATGCGCATGCTCGGCGTCGACTCCGACAAGCTGGGCGTCATGGCCCTCAACGCGCTCATCTACCTGGCCGAGTGGGTGAGTTGAATGTTGGCGGCGCCACCGCTTGGTGGCCTCCGAGACCTGTCACGTGACCGTCCATCTGGCGGTGGAGCAGTGAACCCAACAGCAGCGGTCTTATGCTCATAGTTCTACACTTCATGAGGTTTTCACGGTCCTCAAATGAGGATGCTTGATGCGAATGACTGTAAAAATATTCAGGACGAATCCGTTGCGCATGCAATGTTACACTTCCGGCAACTCTTAGAAATGCCTACAACGCATTTGAGATATGCACACTAAAAAACGTTGACACATTGGTCTGTCACGTCACAGCCGCGTGTGCCTCCTCTGACCGCGCAGAGACCTATACAAATGGTCTTCTGCTCCGGATGAGGACGCGGTGTGCCGGGGCCTCGCCGAGACACGCCGCCCGCTCGTATAGGTTACAACGACCGGCCGGCAGCGTCCGTGCTTGGAGTTCGGTCATTGTCCGCTGGCCAGCTGCTGCTCTGGCCGCTGGCCGGCTGCTGGGCTGGGGCCGGGCCGGGGCGGACGGCGACCCAGTTCAGACAGAGCCAATCGTCGCGAGCGACGTTCCACTCTCAACGCGCCGAGCCGCGGGCTGAGCGGCGACCAACACCGCTCCACTTCCGGGGTAATGGCGCTGGCAACGGCCTCAGCTGCCGCGCCAGCGGGGAGTCATCTGGAACGCCGCCGACGCCTGGTTATCTGTTGTGGGCGCGTGGGATCTCACGGACGTGCCCGGTGGTTTGCTGTTGTTTACACCGCGCTCGGTCGTGGTTTTCCTGCCAGCTCGGAGGGCGGCCGTCCACTTTGGTCGGGCTCCAGTGCCCGGCAGCCGGCCGGAGACGGCGAGCAGCCGTCTGGCGCCGCCGGACTCATATTGCCTGCCATTGTCTGTAGAGAGTGTGTCGCCCATTGTCCACGCAGAGGCCAGTGCCCGTGTAGCAGGCTTGTTTGAGCCCAGCTAGACGACATGGCTGGGGTAGATGACCACGATAGGCCGTCAGCCATTTTCCTTGGCAGCAGCATTACAACGCCCTCAGCGCCTTCTGGTTAGGGGGTAAATAATCGTTTATTTAGATCTATCAGGTCTCATTTTCTCAGGTCGGTCCAGATTACCAAACTTACGGGCTTTATGAGCTGAACGAATTTCTCAATTTTGTTCAGTTTCGAGGTCCTGGGTATAGATGAGGAAAAAGGACAGCGGGTACAGCCCTCCCTGCCCCACGCGGTCCCATTTCTCCTCACAGAGAGGCACCTATCGTCGCCACGTTTTCGTTACATGAAGCAAACAAGCGGCCCTACAAGTATATTTGACTCAAATTCCTGCACGTTTCTACCGTCATTCAAATGGATATGCATCACAATGTGAACACCGGTAAACCAACATCCGCAATGACGAGATATGTCAATGGCCTGTTCACGGCCACATTGTATTTGCCTCATCATTATTGCCGTCCATACCCCGAGTATTTCGAGATCACATTCAACATGGAACCGGATTCAGAAACCCATCTTCTGGCGAAGACACGGCCAGCGCCTTTAAACTCCAGGACACTTTACTCGACACTAGTGATTAAACAAGACCGAGCAGACTTCATTTGGCATAAGGGAGCTGCTGTCTTTCTGGGAGCCCCTGGGCCGAAGGGTCAGGTAGCAGACCGTACTACCGCCACACCACCGTCACCAGCCGTAATCATCATGCCTTTTCGCCTCGGTCGTCAGTTAATAACTGGTCGTCCTATCGATGCCCAACGAATCAGCGCCCTACGCAGGCCCTTGTTATTGCGAATAACAGCTCATTGATGATACATTTATAGCTCCTCAGCTTGCTACGCACGCCGACACTTCCATTGACGTCATTGTATCACCTTGATGTTCGCTTCGGGAAATCAGGATCGACCCGTTAGAGACACACTTGTCGGCATTCTATAGGACGACTGCGAGAGGTTATCTGATGGGATTTTACTTGATAACATGTTCAGTTAGCAAACTCGCTACACTGCCTGTATTTGAAAATCTGCTTCGAAGAGATATCAAGACACTTTGGCGTAGGTGGAGCTCAAAAACGAGCCGCGAGATGCAGAGTTCTTCCGCCACCGCCGCCACCGCCGCTGATCAGTGGTGCCCTCTGTCCCGTCAGATCACCGGCTCACTGCTCGGGGAGAAGAACTCCGTGGACAGCCGGTCGGGCGCGGCCGTGCTGGACTGGCTGATGGACGACAACGTCGCCCAGTTCTCCGAGATCGTGCAGCGCGCGCAGCAGCCCTCGCTGCCGAAGAGCATGATCGAGAGCCTGATTGACCGCACTGGCAACGACACGGCCTGCGTCCAGCTGCTCATCTGCAAGATGTCGCCGGTGGTGTGGGGCGCGCAGAACGCCGTCAAGCAGAGCTTCACCTCGCGCTCGCTAGATGGCTCCATGTTCGACTCGTTCTACGAATTTCTGCCGTCAATGAACGACTTCGTCCGCTTTAGCGAGAGCTGTGAGAGTCAGTTCCCGGCGTGTCCGCTGATCGACGTACTCGAGGAGGGCCAGCAGTAGCCAGACGCTAGCGGACGGGCCGGTGTCGCGGGTCACGAGCCCGGGGACTCCCCAAACTGGACACCGTATCAAGGAGGCTGCGCGGCAAACTCAGCCGTCCCGCCAGCTGAGCGTCCTGCAGCCGTTGTCCGCAGTCCGGGACTCATCACTTCGTACAACGTATGAACGGCGACTTTGTATTACTTCCAGGCATTACCGCAGTCGCGACCCCAAGCATGTCTCCGTTGATGTCCCCGTGCACTTCCTGGCAGTTCAGGACATGAAGTTCACCAATTAGCAGAGCCGCACGCTGTCGGCGTGCACTTGTGCACTGCATGGCGAGAGACGGGGTTACCGTGTGTGTGCACGTGGTTACACTGAGCACGCGTCCCGACGGCGCGGCAGTGAAATACAGGCATTCGCTGCACGTCACTACGGTGAGAAGGTCGGTGGTGCAATAGGCTCCGGTTATTGTGTAATAAAATTGTTGTTATATAGGCGAGCGTTTTTTTGTCGGCGTGTTTGGGTGGCAAGTTTGCATTAACTTTAATTACGACTGTTTGGAAAAAAATGTGATACCAGGGAAAAGGATAGCAATCATAAAAGCCGTTAATGTCGTTACAGTCATGACATTGCTATAAAAGATAAAAGAAAATGGGTTAACAGCATTCAGAAAGAGTGCAACGCTTGAAAACCACTCATACGGCTATCAATGCTCCGATGTATTGCTTTAAAAAACGAATTTACACGGATGATGCATTCGCATATTACACACCTAAAATAAGGTGATAATGTGACGGAATGTTCAGTAAGCCGAGGGCGAGCTCGCGATCCCGAGATTTTCATGAGCGACGATTCCCAAGCATGAAAAGGAAGTCTTGATACTTATAGACAGGCACCCCTGGCTGCAAATGCTATAACAATACATATAATTATTGTAGCCATTGCCTATACTATAACATTAGGTCGACGTCAGCGGACCTGTATAGGAAGCTCACACAATGCTGCTGCATAATACTGAGTTCTACTGACTTCCAGATTCGACAAACAACCCTGAGTCATTGACGTTGAGCCATTCCACACAACTTCATAAAATGGAGTCATTAAGTTGCAAACCGTGCTTCGAAAAAAATAAAAAATCGGCAATCACGAAGACAGACCACCACTGGCGAAAAAGCCGCATACCTAGCAACTAAAGTCATTTCCCAAAATACCATTATTCCGATCGACCACCTTTCCCCCCTCCACCCGCTCTCCGTTTCAAAGAAGCCTCTGTCCAGGACGTGCTCCCCGCCACCGGTTCCCGACGAGCTGACGGCTGGATCACGGAGCCCGTGGCTTCCGACTGAGCAGCGCGAAGTATCGGAACCGTATCTGTATGGGGCTGTCCAGTGTGATATCGCCACCTAGCAGCTTCAGCAGTCTGTAACACAAAAACGCAGCGTACTAGTCAAGGAAACAATGGTGATTTGCAATGATCGGTGCGCTAGTTCCAGCACCAGGGCGTATTTTCTCGGACCGGGCGCCAAGCCATGAAGAACAGCATCACAGGCCAGTGTGACATGAACAAGACCGGCACACCAGAAGGACCAGCAGCAGGCACTGATAGCAGGGAACACTGACATGGAAAGCAGGAGGTTAGGTATCCAGCTCTGTCGTTCTACCTGTCCGAATCCGCGAAGCAAACAACAGATGAATGTCCCGAGCAAAAGGCGGCGGGGCGCTGAGTGGCCTGACCTCCTGGACACACCACCACACATCTTAAGCAGCTGCCTCTGAGTTCAGCGCCGCCGGAGCCAAGGCGAGGACGAGCGACGTCGCATGCCACGTCCATGGCCAAGACGCAAGCGCAAACGATGGATACGAACGAGACCGAAGGTCGTCATCGGTACCGACTAATTGGCAACGACGGCTCCCAGTTTAAATAACTCACTTCAGAAGAACGTGCAGTTGGGTGAGGGCCAGGCAGTGAACGTCGGTATAAATTGCAATAATTGCCACGGTGCGGAGAAGCCGTACACTAACGAAAGCGCTTCAGGAACAAAGGATATCGATCCTGCTTGGCAGAATAATCACGCAAACGCCGTTTCCTTCAGACCACACACAGACACAGACAATACAGCGTATTCCATCTGTGTGCAGGACACGAAGCAGCTGTGTTAAGCACGGCGGCCGTGGCTACACCGCCCCTATCTCCCGCCATCGCTCTGGTCACTGCGGAGCACATCCAGCAGGTGCACAGCACGCTACGGTTCTCACCTGTCCTCCAGCTGGCGGAGGAAGGTGACGCCGGCCTCCTGGCCCCGGTCGGCCACCATCAGTTGGAAGCCCGACCATGTGCTGCAGTACCCCACCAGGTCGGCCACCGTGCCCTCCAGGTCACAGAAGGTCGTCTCCTCCCTGCAGGCGGGGTGACCGTGTGAGGACAACCCCCAGGAGGTCGCTGTGAGGAGGCCTGGCTTACGACCGCACGAACTAGTTGTCCCAATGCAGCGTGCAAAAGAATCTGGACCGCATTGGCTACAACACTTGTCCGTCTCGACGGCTCCGTTGGTCGGCCAGCATGCCTTTCGATCTACCCAGCCGCGGCGGGGTGGGTTCGCGTCACTTTAGGCGCTCACCATTTGTCCTTGACAGGTATGGCCCGTAGCCGGTGCCAGTGGATGTGCTAAAGGTCAAGTAACGCCAGCGGGCAGGGCGGTGCCGAGCATTGCGGCACGTTAAACTTTCACCATCTAAGTCTGCATGTTGACCTGGATTTGTGCGATCAGATGGTAGAGATCAGGGCTCACACCACAAGCATTTCTTAGTGTAAGGTCTGATCCCATAAATCCATCCCCTGAAAAGGTCCAGATTAGGTCTTTAAAGAGACATCGCATGCGCATGGGCGCTTGTGGCCGTGCGCACTTGCTTCAAACGTCAGGCTTTCGCATGATATATTGGAATGATTGCTAGACAAAGTCACTTAGCCTGTACCTTCTGGTACATTGAAGCTCAGCTACTTTCAACGTAACAATTCATAATAATACAATCAAACAGGCTTTAAATTTCATCACACTAGATACGCTTTAACACCTAACAAGAATCCGGACGGGCGCCAAAAACGGCAACGTGAATCGCTCCAAAATGGAAGAAAATGATGTTTATAAAGGCCAACATATTTAAGGAGCTGAACTGCGCTCTGGCAACGCCTGAAGTTGGACAATCCACGGGTTGTTCTGCTATTCCGATATTTCGCTGCTGTGCTCAGCTTCCTTTAACGCAAACCGGAAACGCCGGCAGTGGCATGTGCTCACGCAAAACACCGAACAGTTCTGACCAGCAATTGCTGTTCACTTCATCTACCGCAGAAGTGTCATTATCTCAACACCTGCGATTAACCGGCACTACATCAGGCCACTATTTGCGATAACATGGCACTGCATTACCCCACCGTTTGTGACCTATCAGCACTACACCATCTCCCGTCAGACGCTCCCGCCATCAACGCTTGACCCCCCCCCCCCCCCCCGCCGTCGCCCTTCTCACCGCTTGTGGTCGGTGAGCGATGACAGGAATCTTGGATTGGAGTAGCCGTCGATGTACACCTCCACGCTCTGTGGCTTGATCCAGGCAGCCAGACCATTCACGTACGACTGAAAGGGAGTCGACGACGCTTGAGTGAAAGCAGTCAGCCGAAGCGGGCGCGAACCACACAGCTGCGGCCGTCAGTCAAACCCAGTCACCGCCACAGCGAAATAGACTGCTGTGGATGTTTCGCTGCTTGCGGTGAAAAACGATAGAGAATTCTGCGTGAAAGATTGCACACAGCTTTCAGGAGTCTATGTTTTGCATCCTGCATGATCGTGAAGACAGAAACATCGGCACAATAACGCAACATATGCGGATACAGACGCATGAAGCCTATGGACAAGAATCTGAAACAGAAACATCCTTGCAGATAACGATAAAACAAAGAATGCAAATCAAGAATCGCCATGTTTTAACTGCACACTTAACATGTGTTTCCTCGGCAATGTTTCTCAATGCAGGTACAGGAGCATCGATCCAATCACTTATTTTACACAAAGAAGTGTACATTAGTAATGAATAATATGCTGCAAATAAACGTGAATTCAAGAACCAGAATAAACTGGTTCAACTCCCCCCCCCCCAAAAAAAAAATGACGGCAACCATGCCACATTTTCAGACGCAGAGTTAACCGCGCCACTGTAAACATAAGCGCGCGTGGTCTGCGTGCTGGGTCGACACGTCCGAGCGCCGCTCTTGCCGCCGGAGGCCGCCGCCATCGGTGCCGCCGAGTGACGTCACTCACATCGGCGAGGAGTTCCTGCGCGTCCTGGCGCTCGCGGCCGCCGACGACGGGCACGGGCAGCCGGTAGCCGACCAGCGCCAGCGCGCCGCCCGCACACAGCAGGCGGCTGACGTCGGCGAAGAAGGCGCCCATGTCGAACCAGTGGCACGCTTGCACGGCCAGCACCAGCTGACAGCTGGCCGCCGGCAGCGGCGTCGCCTCGGCCGGGCTTGCCCTGAGGGCACGGCCGCGCGGTGTTGACAGGGACTGCGAGACAGCTATGGCGGGTGCATACGGACAGACGGAGCTAGGGGAGGGAGACGCCCAAACGAGCGCATACGGTGACTTCGGTGCGATTCAGGGTGCAGGTAGTGTTAACAAGATGGCAGCCTCCCATGGACCCGACGCCGGCCAGGGTCAGCGTGTCCAAGAGATCTATCGGAGACTCGGGACCATACGGGCGTGACGCAACCCAGAGCCAAAAGACCTAGGCGGCACATTTGCCGGAGCCGCTCAATGAACTTCTTCAAGCATCCGGACAAAACATCACTCAAAAGAACTAAATTCTAATACACTTTGGCGCGTTGAACCCTGTCGATGACATCGACTTCCTGACAACGTAAAGTAAGCGTTGTTCTTGAAACGCACCCTCCCTCCCCCCCCCCCCGCCCACCACCCACCCTACCCACCCATCAGCCGGACTAGGTCAGCGGGCATGGCCTCCGTCAGCGGCGCCGACCGTCACCTGTAGCTGACGTTGCCCTCGGTGTTGGCGGCGGCCGCCTCTGCCACCTGGGCCGGGCTGACGTCCGTTCCCAGGACCCGGTCAAAGTGTGGCGCCAGCAGGCGGGTGCCCTGGCCGGAGCCGCAGCCTACGTCCGCCACCTGCTGCAGACGGCCCACCACCTGGCGCACAGACACGACAGGTCAGCTGGCGTGCAGATACGACAAGTCAGCTGACGCGCAGACACGGCCGGTCTGCCAGCGTGCAGACACCACAATTCAATCTGACGCGCAGACATGGCCGGTCAGTTGACGCACAGACACTTGAAATCAGCTGGCGCGCAGGCAAATCTGACGCACAAATATTGATACTGCACTGGCCAAGGACATGGCTGCAGAAACGGCCGGCGCGAACTCATCGCTTATGGACTGCCGCAGGCATGGCCGTATTGTAAGCTTGGCTCCTTCACGTGGTTTCTGCGGGACAAGGACGCGACACTTTCAGGTGTCTTAACGCCGCACTGCCCAGAGGTTGGCTCGTACCTGCATTTTCGGAATGTATTACCTGGGCCTAGGTTCATCAGGCGAAAGAGCTAGCGTACGCACTTTGGTCCGCGTCCCATGAGCTCACATCCTAAAAATAGCTGAGTGTGACCAGCATGAACTGCTTCCCAACGCCTTTATGGAAAGATTATCGATGGCTCGTATACCTGTATGCAGCGACCAAAGTGTTAAGTAGCGTGCTTCATTTTTATGATACTTGACACTGATACACAGGCCGACCGCAGCCCAGCCTCCGGGCGACCGGAGGGCGGACCTCAGTCCCCGCCGCCTCCCCTGACCAGACCGGTGACGGTGGGGCAGGGGGAGGGGGGCACGCTCACCCCTTCGCCGGCGTAGGTCCGGAGGATGTTCACCAGCGCCTCCGGCATGGTGGGCCGGTAGCGGGCGTACAGCGCCGCGTGCCGGTCGCCCTCGAAAAACCGCGACGCCATGCTGCTTACGCGTCACGAGCCGTTCTGACGAGGGGAACAGCGTCAGACGCTCGCACGGCTCGTTATAAACAGACGCCGCAGGACCCGGAGGCGATGACAGACAGACACCAGGCCCCTTCGGGGCGCGTTAAGAAACACCACCATACAGAGACGTACGCAGGATTTCACAAGGGGGGGGAGGGGGGAGGCACAGCTCACAAGTTTTGACTAAACCGAGTTATTAAACCGAGTGAAGTGTGTCACGGAAATTACTTATGTCGTACAGCAACATCGCGTGTTCTCGATCTTTCTAGTTTCACGTGTCTGTCTACCGGACATTAAATGCCAAAATTAGCCACCCACTTATTAGTACATATCATAAATTTGGTAAAAGGCATGTGCTCACGGGTCATGTGCGTACGCTCCTGTTACCAGACCCATACGCCTCAGTTCCGTGATCTTTTGTTTATGCGACCAACACTTCACATACACAGTCAGTCGCCGCATCACTCGGCGGAGAATGACGTTAGCCGTATTTCACCGGCATTAACATCTATGACTGTCACTCCGAACTCCATAGGATTAAGCACACCGGGCAAATTCGCGAGCCCTGCATGCCGTCCACGATCCTCTCATCAGAAGGGATTGAATGATCCAATAGGTTAAGGCTAGTTGTCTCATGAGCGCAGCTTTGATGCAATGCTCAGAAACTAGATTTGCCTTCTTTGGATGTTCTCATCTAGAAATTCGTCATATCCGACTTAAACACCCCTTGCCAAAGACGACGCACGCATAGGCAAGGGCAGCGTATCTTTGAACAATAGTGCACACTTGAAGGGTTGAGGTTACTTTGCGATGAACGAAATAATCGTCACACGTTCATATAAAACCGTCTCTCGTTGACCACACCGACAGAGCATGTTTCAAAATATGTATTTGCTACCGTCAACACGCGCCGCAGTCCTATCACCCAACATCAGTGTCTTGTTTTCCGTCCATACGAGCACATCAATGAATCAACCTGCTTATCACTTCCGGCTTACAATGCCACACTGCGTGATAACAAAGCTCGTATCAGCACGATGAGCCACATCATAAAAGTGCATTCCTCCGGTGGTGGTACTGGCACCACGATACAATCACGCGCGGCACACAAGGCGCCGCTATGGCACATAAAACACAGTTCATCTCAGAAATTATCTACGCTGATCCACCAGCGACTTAAACGGCTCTAGGCGACGTGCGACACAGACCATCGTCCGTTCACACCGCGAGAACCAGCCGTATTCCTCGGTGACCAGTGGCAGTCTGCAGTCCGCGGTCTGTGCTCCGCGGTCCGCGTTCCGCGGTCCGTGATCCCACGGTCCGTGGTCCACGGTCCGTGGTCCACGGTCCGTGGTCCGTGGTCCGTGGTCCGTGGTCCGCGGTCCGCAGTCTGCGGTCCGTAGTCCGCGGTCCGTGATCCCACGGTCCGTGGTCCGTAGTCTCCACGGTCCACGGTCTGCAGTACGCGGTCCACGGTCTGCAGTACGCGGTCCGCGGTCCGCAGTCCACGGTCCGTGGTCCGCAGTCCGCGATCCGCGATCCGCGGATCCGCGATCCGCGATCCGCGGTCCGCAGTCCGCGATCTGTGGTCCGCGGTCTGTGGTCCGCGGTCTGTGGTCCGCGGTCTGTGGTCCGCGGTCCGTGTTCCGCAGTGCGCTGTCCGCAGTCCGCCGCTACTCCTCCGGCGTCAGCTTCAGCGCGGCGGCGTTGATGCAGTAGCGCAGGCCGGTGGGGCGGGGTCCGTCGTCGAACACGTGGCCGAGGTGCGCGCCGCAGCGGCGGCAGAGCGCCTCCTCGCGCAGCATGCCGTGGCTGATGTCGGTCCGCGTCTCTACGCTGCTGCCGTCCGGCCGGCCGGCCGCGCCGTCCGCCGCCGAGTGGAACGACGGCCAGCCGGAGCCAGAGTCGAACTTGTCGGCGGCGCGGAAGAGCGGCGCACCGCAGCAGACGCAGCCGTAGCGCGCGCTGGCCGACGACGGCGGCGGTAGCTCGCCGCTGAACGGCGGCTCCGTGCCGGCGCGCCGCGTCACCGCGAACTGCAGCGGCGTCAGGCGCGCGCGCCACTCCTCGTCTGAGACGGCGCGCGGCTCTTCGCAGGCGGCGGCGGCCGAGGTGCGCAGCGCGCGGAGTGGCGCAGGCGGCGCCGCGCAGCGGGGAGGCGCAGCGGCGGCGCCCACCGCCGTCCACGCCCACACGGCCAGCCGGCACGGCAGGCGCAGCATGCCCTGCAATGGCCGACGCAGCTGGGCCAGGCTGCCGAGGACGCACACGACGGGGCGGCGGCGAACGAGCAGGTCTCGGTCGTGGACACAAACCACAGGCTTCAGAGGTAACACAGGCTTCACACTACAACCTGCACAGGCTAGGCGAATCTGGGTCAAACCAGGCTGTTACCAACTCATCTTATCTTTAATGTTCCAATAATCCATGACCACTGGCCTAAATTTCATGGAATCCCGCTGCCAATTAAGGGCCAAATGGATGTTACTTCAGTCTGTCAATTATATGGTTTTAAAGGCATATTAACAGCGATGTTTTTCTCCACCTGGGCATTACTTCCTTTGATGTTACACATAGTGCAGGAGACCAGGGGGAATGCATGGCATAATCAGTGTGTCACCTGGGGAGGAAGGATTTGGAATGGCAAGAATGTGCAATGTACTTTATTGACAGCCTTGCAGGTATGCAAATGCATTGGTGCTGCTCTGAAATACATCACATATCTTCTGACAGCCATATTGTGGAGGCTCTCAAGGAAAATTCTGACCACAAAAAAGGCACCTGTACCAACAATACTGAATAGGATCACCCTCATGCTCATTAGCCTAGCCAAGAGAGTCAGAAGGGTTCACTGGCACACAAAAGTTTGCAAAGCAAAATTTCCTCTTTTACCATAATGGAATCCCATGCCAACTTTCATCTGACTTGCCCCCACCCTCACCCCACCCCCTTCACCACAGCACAGCATGGTAACAAAACTGGGCACACTCTGACATCCAGCCCATCCACGGCATGATGGTTTGAACAGTCATCCTAATACTTACACAAACATGGTAAATCAATGACCCAATGACATCTGCACTGGAATGATTATGCATGCTAGGGTGCATAACCCCTTTCATCCTCACATCCGTGATTTGTCTGAAAAAAGAAAAGCACACACCACCAAATGGATAAATATAAGTCATGATCACAAGAGGGTTCAAAGGCAAATTAGGTGCATGTTTAAGGCTTACAAAGTGTGTGTGAATACATACAAGTTAACTGTCACCCTATCAGAATCCCTCAGTTCCATGGTGATATATTTCTTTTAAAAACCTCTACCTGTGAGAGTTCTCGCCATTAATTTTGAAGGAGACGTTGAGAGACATGTACGCAGAATGGTTCACAGCCGTTTTAAGTGCCAGTATAACCTGGATTTAACCATGTCAATAAAATAGAACACATAACTTTAGACTGAATGCAGTTGGGTCAACAGCCTTCAACAATTCAAAATCCACAAAATGTTCACATTCCTGCTTGAGTTGTTTTATATGTATCCCTTCAGGCTGAAATAGGCCAATGACAAATACACTGTCAGCATGGAGCTGTTTTTCATGTTTCTCTTTAATAAAATAGGCTAGTGACACAAACATAATCAACATTGAGTAATTTGTTTAATCCTTTCAAGGGTGGGCACATGGTTACATAATGCATCTGGTGTCCGTCTGTTGTCATGTTGATCACAATTGCGGTTCATCACCTCACTATGACAGTTAACTCTTTCACAGTTCATCGAAGCCAGGCGCTGTATTTCGTCATCTTCAGAAGCAAAGTAAAATGCACACAACGAACACCTACCTACCCACTCCAGAAGCTGCTATACGCGAGGCGCTACGCCGCTTCAGCGCAGTGTCCCAAGCCACGTGTCAATCTAGTATCAGATTGATATCCAATTGCCAGTTGGATATTGCGGGGCGTCTCGATTGCCTTGAAATTTGGTGTGCAGGGCCTTCTCAACACGCTGATTCCGAAAATCACTGCCTTTGGGGTGGAATTTTGCGTAATTTCCGAGTTATACGCTACGTAACATCTCAATGTGATATTGCCGGGCGTTTCAACTGCCTCCAAATTTGGTGTGCAGGGCCTTCTCAACACGCTGATTCCGAAAATCACTGTCTTTGGGGTGGGATTTTGTGTAACTTCCGAGTTATACGACGCGTGACACCTCAGTTGCGCTTTGGAATATGTGTCCTGGAATTCGCCTTTGGGCCTGTCCGTATCAGTTCACTGGAGAAGGTCAGTTCGCGACATTTGAGTGATAACCGTGTGGCATGTGATATCATTGACTTGGTGGTATCCCCCAGTGGCATCCCTCTCCGCTTTGTTTCGTTTCTGACCTTTAAGGTGGTGGAGTAATAGTCCGACGTAGTCACGGACATTGTTTGTCCTGACCAAAAACTGACAAGATGCCGCTGGTGACCAAACCAATCGTGCCCCGCCGCTGGAGCCTGAAGATTTGGGTGATGTCACACCGTCTGTCTTATCTCCCAAGGACGCTGGTGACGCTGGTGGAACAGCGCATGCTACTTGTGCACGCCGTGTCCATGTCGTTGGCTGGCCGGTCACATCAGGCCGCTGCTGCTGACCATGGTGGAGACGCTGCACTTCGCGAGCCTGCCGGACGGCGGCGTCGACACACCGGTGGTCAGCGGGCCCACCAGCTGATAGCCGGCCGGCCGGCGGTGTCGACACACTGGTGGTCAGTGTGTCGAGAAGGCCCTGCTCACCAAATTTGGAGGCGATCGAGACGCCCCGCAATTCCAGCTGGGGTGTTACGCGGCGTATAACTCGGAAAATTCGCAAAATCCCACCCCAAAGACAGTAATTTTTGGAGTCAGCGTGTTGAGAAGGCCCTGCCCACCAAATTTGGAGGCAATCGAGAAGCCCCGCAATATCACATTGGGATGTTACGCGGCGTATAACTCGAAAATTACGCAAAATTTCACCCCAAAGGCGGTGATTTTCGGAATCAGCGTGTTGGGAAGGGCCCTGCCACAGAAAAAAACCAAAGTTTGGATAGGCAATCGAGACGCCCTGCAATAGCGCATTGGGATGTTACGACGACGCAAGCGTATAAACGTCGAAAATTACGCAAAATTCCACCCCCAAAGGGCAGTGATTTTCGGAATCAGCGTGGTTGAAGGGCCCCTGCACACCAAATTTGGTGAGGGAATCGAGACGCCCCGCAAACATCCAACTGTTGTGTTTACGCGGCGTAATATACTCGAAATTACGCAAAATTCCACCCCAAAGGCAGTGATTTTCGGAATCAGCGTGTTGAGAAGGCCCTGCACACCAAATTTGGAGGCAATCGAAACGCTCCCCAATATCACATTGGGATGTTACGCGGCGTACAACTCGAAAATTAAGCAAAATTCCATCCCAAAGGCAGTGATTTTCAGAATCAGCGTGCTGAGAAGGCCCTGCACACCAAATTTCAAGGCAATCGAGACGCCCCGCAGTATCCAACTGGCAATTGGATGAAAATCTGCTGCTAGATTGACAGACGTTCCTAAGACGCATGAGTAACATTATTATCGGCGCAATATTTTGTCATGGGCGCGTCACTATTGCATTTATATTTGCACTATTAAGGGGATACCATTTCTCGCTATCATGGTACCTGACAAACTACGTAATCATGTCGAAGAGAAAAAGACTGAAATCAAGCTGATTAAATAACAGATTGAGAGGCGGCTTTAACTCATTAAATCATTCTACAGCACTGCATAAGTGTTCAAACCCAGCAGTACCATGACTAGGCAAATAAGACGTTCTATCGTTTGGTAGAAACGTTTTAAGTTAAGAAAAGCTAACCTTTTCCATGAACATCATTCAGATTGGCGAAGAACACCACGTTTTATTGCATTTTTCTCATCTCAGTCTCTCAAATATTATCTAAAAGGAGATTAACGTTAGTTTCATGTCAGTTTTGCCCACATCTATAACAAACAATTCGTGGACGCCGGCATTGACGCACGAGCGACAAACTGTTTTTTATGGAAACTCAGTTATCATGAGTCTTAGAAGTAGGTAGAGGGTCGAAACAGGTGGTGCATATGTTTCTGATACTAAACAGGAGATTGTTTTACACATCTAAGCACGTCTGTTTTGAGGGGTGCTGCCGCTAATTTTTGTGTTCCAGCCAACAAGAAGTATCTGGTACCAGGTAAAATGTCATTGCAGCCAGTATATGCCTATTAAAAAGCTAGTATTTTCTCGATTGAGCTTAATCATAAAAGTACTGGGAGATGGCATTCCCATATTTTTCTTAATTTATCTGTGTCATGTGGATATATATGATTCAGGTGTCAGATACACTTACCAGTGACATACCAGTGATATTGCAGTTGACTAGGTCAGACAGCATTTAAACAGAGTTTCCCATATGTCTTGTTAATTTCAGTCCTTATCAATGCACAATTTACTTCAAGGATGGCAATGTGCCTTGCGTATATTGTAGAGCCATTTGATAGAGAAGCATTCATCAGGATGCACTGAACATATTGTGTATGCATAATACCTTTATCCTCTAAGGTCATGGCATGATGTAGTGTGATGTTTTTTTGCAGACATTGTGAAGGCTAGGTTTCTTTCCTTGTTGTAGTTATTAATATCCATTCTTTGAACCACCAAACCAAGAGGAATTTAGATGAACCTCTCTGGTATCTATGTGTTTCCAATGCATCCAAATACATCTATCTTTAGTAAGGAAATTAGGGAAAAGTTGAGCTGACAATATTTTGGTGTGACAAATACTTTTACATGTTTACATCCTTTCATACTATACATTTCAGCCCTGACTCATCGAGATGGATGGAGCCGCAACAGTTATCTTGTTCAGCTTAGCAATGCTGATTGGCTGCTACCTGGCAGGACTCATTCCTTTAGTTGTGACTCTATCAGAGGTAAGCCCACTGCACTTATTTTATAGCTGTGATTACTTCTACATGAAAAATCCTTTCAAGTTTGGCTTTATCCTGTCATTGTCTTGTCATTGTCTTTGTCTTGACTTGCCATATCATTGAAAATTAAATAAACTTTCTACTGTGTAAGCTTTTCACTTCATTCCATCACAAATGAATAAGCATCAAGTATGTACCAAGCAGACTGGATGAGTCATTGAGCCACCAAAAGTCAGCAGTGCCAGGAGACCAAGTCTGTAGGAATGGTGGTGCTTCAATCATAATTGTGACTTTCATTGAGATCAGAGACTATTACTCATGACCAGCTGCATTGATATCAAGCACACCTTGTTCTCATAGGTTATATTGTGCCTGCCTCTGCCCTCAGTCTAAGCTGCAGTATATATTGTGCCTGTCTCTGCCCTCAGTCTAAGCTGCAGTATGTAACAGTCATGGGAGCAGGCCTGTTGGTGGGCACAGCTCTGGCAGTAATCATCCCTGAGGGAGTCAACACCATCATACAGACCCATTCCAAAGGTGAGATGTGTGGTCACCATTTATTTGTAGAATCTCATTTGATCTCAAATTGTGGGCCACTTAACTGGCGTCTATAGCGTACTGCTTGTTTTGGGCACCTCATGAATAAAGTGTTCTACCTATTTTTAGATCAGAATTTTTGGTATCTTTTTAAGTAAAAGTATGTTTATTAGCTATCTAAAAATCTGGAAAGATCTGCATTGTTTTTCGCAAAGGTGGTGTAAGAGTACAGAGCATTGGTTATGGCCTCCACATGTGTGCTTTTTCAGACATTTTTGTGTGCATGGTTGTGGTTCTTGAGCATCCAAGTGCAGTATCCTGTTCCTAGTGAATGTGAGCTATAAAGCTTACCTGTTCTTGCCATTGTTGCATGTTCTTGAGGACAGCACCTTAAAAAAGGGCATGTGCTGCTCAATGACACTATTAATCAACAGAATGTTTTGTGACTTATTGTTGGTTGTATCACCACTGATCTTTGAGGGTTGCTGAGCTGGCTTTCTCAGTATATCTGGATTGCTTATCACTCTGCTCACAATGCTGTCAGGCAATCTGGTACACCACCCAGTCCAGTAGATGTGTAGGCACCTCCACCTTTCTTCAAGCCACAAGGGTTGCTCCGTGGTGCAGTATACCAGGATTTTATTGCAGCTGGTCTGTCGTTCTGCACTACCTGGAGCTTCGAGCTGGGGTATTGAATAGCTCCCTAGATTGGGAAGGAAGGGGAGTTGTGAACAATCCATGGTCTCGCTGGCGGGAGTCTTATTAGCCTATTTTGGCCGATAGCGAAGCAGTTTTACGACACCATCACTGAAAACCGTGGATATCCTTCGTGGAAATCCGTGGTGGTCCGTGAGTTCCAATTCGTACAGGTTAGGGCTAGTCCGAAAGAAAGGCACCATCCACGACCCGACGCGCGCCATAGCGGGATTACTTTGTCTCAACATCAGCTGTCCCATGATCGGAGCTGTGGCTGCTCCTGACCTCACGTAACCGGCCGTTGGCAGCGTTGGCGGCGCCGACGGAGGGGCCGGCCGGGCACGGTTCCGGAGCTCACAGCGGGCCGGAGCTGCACTCGATGGTCGGCCTGGCGCTGGTGGCCGGCTTCGTGCTGATGCTGGTGGTGGACCAGTTCACGCACCACCACAGCAGTGAACAGGTCACTGGTGAGTGTCGCGGCCACACGCCACGACAGTGGACAGGTCACTGGTGGGTGTCGCTGTCACACGCCACAGCAGTGAATAGGTCACTGGTGAGTGTCGCGGTCACACGCCACGGCAGTGATTAGGTCACTGGTGAGTGTCGCTCTCACACGCCACAGCAGTGGACAGGTCACTGGTGAGAGTCATGGCAGTACACCACAGCAGTGAACAGGTCACTGGTGGTTGTCGCTGTCACGCCACAGCAGTGAACAAGTCACTAATGAGTGTCGCGTGCACCCATCACATCATTGAACAGGTGAGTTTCATGGTCGCATACCACAGGCGTCAACAGGTTGCTAGTGAGTGTCGTGTCTACACACCATCAAACAGCAGCTTACAGGATTACCAGTGAGTGTCGCGTGCGCACTCCACCTCAGCAGCGAACAGGTTACCAGTGAATAACGGATCTGGTCAGGCCCGGCCATTGGCGATTGGTGAAAGGAGGCCGTTGTGACGCCCCTCAAAGCCGCCCTGAGCGGTACGATTTGCGGGTCGCGCGTGTCAGTCACGTGGCATGTAGGCGTTAGGCCATGAAGCTACCCGGGATAGTGTGTCTCGTCACGCTTACACAGAGCTTTGCGATCGATGCCCCCCTCCCCCCTCACCTCAGCAGCTGCGAAAAAACGGGCGCAAGACAGCTGCTGTAGTGCTTCGCCGTTTCTCTTGCCTGGCGTCACGTGACCGAGGCCCACCCGACGCGTGCCGACAGACCCTGAAGGTCACGTGGTGCACCGGGCCGGCCAGAACGTGACGGCCACGGTGGGCCTGGTGGTTCACGCGGCCGCCGATGGTGTCGCCCTGGGCGCCGCCGTCGCCTCCTCCCGCACCGACGTGGAGCTGATCGTCTTCGTGGCCATCATGCTGCACAAGGTGGGACGCTGTCGGGCGGCCGTGCTTTCTGGCTCTGCGCGACGTCTGCGAGGCCGTTACAGCGTGTGACAGGCCTCGTTTTAAGGGATTGACTTTCGTGGGTGGTTCTGGGGTACCCTACAGTTGTAAAGCGGTTAGTTATTTCCCGCTTTGTTTGCGATGTATTCTCAGAAATGGATTGAGCCAACGGTGGGCCGGTACTAGTTTTCTGTTTTGTTTGCCTTTTGCACAGCATGTGTCGCACGATTCAGCGACTGCAGGGCTTTTGAAAGCCTTGAACCAACATTATGTTTCACCTATATCGTGCACCTCAACCGAAAGTGGCCTCCATATTTTTTGAAGGGCCCAAACACTATCATTGTTCTGTCTCGTATGTGAGCGCGCGGGGTGCCGTGAACAAGACCTCCGCCGTGCAGCAGAGCAGGCTCACACCCGTGGGACCCGTCACGTGCCGCTCACCGCGCTGTGCGACGGTGACCTGACCTGACCGTCTGTCCCCCGCGTCGACGCTGACCCGAGGGCCTCCCCACGCAGGCGCCGGCCGCCTTCGGCCTGGTCACGTTCCTGCTGCACGAGGGGCTGGAGCGGACGCGCGTGCGGCGCCACCTGCTGGTGTTCTCGGTGGCGGCGCCGCTGATGGCGCTCGTCACGTTCTTCAGCATCGGGAAGGTGCACTGTCGCCGCCCGGGCCGGCGTCGCGCTCCGACGTCCGCCGGAGGGAGGCGCCCGGCGGCGCGCGGCCTCCGCTCGGGCAGGCGCTTTGCCGGCTGTTGTGCGGCGTTGGCGCAGCGGCGCCGCCGCTGTGCCGACAGCCAGCTGACGTTCGCTCGCAGGGGAGGGCGTGCCGGGGAGATCTGGTGCCGTAAGCGAGTACACTATAGTGGGAAAGGCTGATGCTGTGCGGACTGGAGGCTGGCGTGCCCCGCGGCCGCACCTTCTACGTCGCGCTCTCCAGTCGTGCCGGCGCCGGATTCGCCTCAGTGGAGTCGATTCCTGGTCCGATGGGAATCTTACGATCTTTTATGATAATGACGCTCATGCGTTGTAAATATGTGAGGCACGCAATGCATGCAGTATTTTACATCGCTTATTGATTTATTTGATGTGCTTCATTGATGCATGCATGGTCATTATGGATAATGACTGACTGCTGGCAGCAGAACATATATTTGGTTAGTTTCGCCTTTAACTCAATGATGCGTTGCCGAATGCGGAAATCGGAACTGGGTCATTAAATTGCGATGCATTCCGAGCAAGTCTTAGTGACGACGTCTGAAAAAAAAATCATCTCCTTTGTGTGGTATGAGGCTAACCAAACCAGTGCGAGGGCGCACGCTGATAATTTCACGCCATATACGCCAAGGGTGGCTACCTTTGTAATGATTCAGCAGTATGTCGAAGTTAACTTTTTGTCGTATAGGTCCGTCGGGTGACGGCATCTTTTATATATGTATATTTGAGTCGACTCATGGACCACACAATTCAATTTGTTGCATCGATTCACTCAGTGCCACCGAGTCTTTTGGAAGGGAGCGATCACCCACGACTACTGGACTTTGCGCTGACCACGCGTTAGTTGTGGTGAGCTCTTTGCCCGATGAATTCCCGGTGTCAATTCCCTTTGTCGGCTGCCATGGTCCCGGTTGTGGCGCCCCAGCCCCAGCACCGCGCTGGCAGCCCCGTGCTGTGCCGAGCCTCGCTGTTTTTGCTGCCGGGTAGTCCTTGCTACATGGCATGCCATTGTGTTGCCAGCTGGTGTTCCTGAGCCTCCCAGGTGTGCTGTCGGCTACACGCTCGACAGCCCTCACTCGACAGTGTCACGTGTTTCCGTGGCCGCTCCGCGCTCTACCACGTGGTCGTGTCCGGCAGGGCGGCGGCGAGGCGCTGGCCGGCACGAGCGCCACGGGCCTGTGCCTGCTCTTCAGCGCCGGCACGTTCCTCTACGTGTCGACGGTGCACGTGCTGCCGGAGGTGATCTCACGCGGCGACCAGAAGCACTTCTCCGTCTCGGAGCTGCTGTGCATGATCGCCGGCTGCCTTATGCCAGTGCTGCTGTCGCTGAACCACCACCACTAGCGCCGCCTGCCGGCGCGGACGCTGACTGACCGCGGCGCCGGCGCCGGGGCGGACACGGGTACGTGCTGCGTGACGCGCTCGCGCCGGCCGTGGCGCGGGGGCCGCCCGCCCGCGCGCGTCCGAGGACGGTCGGTACCGCGCGGTGCGCGCGGGGTGTACGGGCGTCACGCCGGGCCGTCTCGAGGCGGCGCCTCATGGCGGCGGAGTGGCGCGCACGGCAGCAGGCTGCGCCAGGCGCTGGAGGAGGCAGCCGGTGAGCGCCCGCCCAGCGGCCTGGCCGGCCCGGTGTGGAGTGGCACCGAAGTCACAAACGGACCGGCCGGCGTCGCCGTGGCCAGCGTGCTGGCGGTCAGTATGTGGGACCAATGGACAGAGGTCAGGAGCGGCGTGCTCCCCGAGGAAGAGCGGTCGGCGCTGTTTGCCACGCCGCGGACCGCACAGCTCCCTACCAGCGGGACCGCATAGCTCCCTGCCAGCGCCGGTGCTGGACCAGACTGGGTGGAGCTGCCCCGGGTAGGACCGAACCGCCGAGCCACGTGGAGCTGCTACCTCACCAAGGGTGACGGGGTTCGCCCGACTGCGTGAAATTGAGAAATAGCTGCTCCACGCGGGGCAAGCTCCCGCCTCTCCGGCCCTCATCTGACGTGAGTGTATGCCGGTTTTAGGTGATTGGTGCGGGCTCTTCTGAGGGGGAGGGGGCTGGAGTGCGTCCCCCGATGACTATCCAGCCGTGAAGTGCACGGGTGGTGCCCCCCCCCCCCTCTCTCCCCTTGTACGCGTGCTTTTGGGTGCCGGGGCCGCATATGTGATATGTTTTAGAGGCGGGCACTGTGGCAGGTCTTGCTAGTATCTAGCGCTGTGTGTGGCGTCGCGGCCCGGGCCGTGGGTTTGCCTCTGCCCCCGTCGGATGTGGTGGCCTTGTTTATCCGCGCGCCGCCGTCTGGTGAGAGCATGCGTGGTGCCGTCGTTGCGGGCTCTTGTTGCCTGGTGCTCTGGTGATGCTGCACCGGCCGGTCGGCGTCAGCCATACTTCCAGCGGGGATTCGGTGACACGCGCGGAATCGAACGCTCCGGTAGGCCATGGGTCTCACCGTAGCGCGATTGTCGCGAATCACATCCGTGCAATACTGCTCACCTCGGCCGTGTCGGTGCCTGTCTGGGAACTAAGCCAAACGATGAGGGTGGAAGGCGACAGAAGTGCTCTTGATTTCCGTACGAGTTGCTGTCTGAGGCCGTCGATCTCCGGACGTGCGATCGTGATTATCCGCTCTCGTGCGTTGTGATCTAGGTCATGCGCGCTGGGTGCCCTCTCACGACTTTCGCACGGAGTTGGAGGATGGGAGTGTTGTTACTTTACGCGACACATTTTACTTACATGGTGTATATAGCGCCCGCGGTGGTTGGTGCTGGTCACAAAATACATCTACTTAATGCCTTCGCGTCTGCTGCGAGTGAGTGGTTGGGCCAGTCCTCCACGTAGGTGTGGACGCCTGAGCTGAGAGGGCCACGCCCGTCGCTGACGATCAGCTGGGATCTCGGGACAGCCAACTGTTGTCCGGCCTCTGCCCCGACCTCGGCGACGGTCTGTTGTCCGGCATCTGCCCCGATCTCGGCGACGGTCTGTTGTCAGGCCTCTGCCCCGACCTCGGCGACGGTCTGTTGTCCGGCATCTGCCTCGATCTCGGCGACGGGCTGTTGTCCGGCCTCCGCCCCGATCTCGGCGACGGTCAACACGCCTTCCCGCTGGTCCCTGTGGCGATAGCCGGACAGCAGCAGGAAGGACCACTGCCGTCGGGGGTGGGGGTGGGGGGGGGGGGGGGGGGGGGGGGGGGCAAGCGCCACCTCAAACACGGCCGGCCACTGAGCTCAGACCCGGCCGCTGGCAGCCCGCGTGCTCGGCACAACGACCCGTCACGTGGCGTGACGCCGTCGACGACTGCGAGGAGCGAGCACGGGTTTGGCGCTATATTGTACAATGTACAGCACTTCACAGGCGTCCTGTTACAGAACATATCACTGAAAGTCGACCGTTCGCCACACACGGCACCACTCGCTCCCGCGCGGGCATCCCCACAGCTGCGCTGGCCGCCCCGCTAGCTTTGTACGCTGCGCGTGCGGTCTCCGGTCGGGCTCCACTGCGCATGCGCCGCGACGGCGCTCAGGCGAGATCGGGGGCGCGCGCGCGGCTATCACTGCCGCTCGAGCTCGGCCGGCGCCCGCAGCGGCGCCGGCGGCGGCGGCGGCGGCGGACTCGGGCCCGGCGAGCACGCCGTCATGCCTGACGCCGCGGACCGCCACCCAGCCCCACATCACTGGAATGGCCCCGCCTGCGGACTGGCATCGGGCCAGCACGGATGAGAACAAAACGAACAAAACGCGCGCGCACGCAGCCACGCACACGCATATGCACACACTCAGCGGATGGGGTGAGCACGCAGACGACTGGTCCAAAACGCGGTCACGCACACGCGCCGGCGCACGGCGTGACACCACGCGGCGAGCAGCTCTCGCGAGACGTTCCGACCGCCGGCGCCGCAACCGGTGCCCACACGCCGCGTCATTGTACACGAGTAAGGCCGGTGAAGCTGCTGGGCCGCCGGACGACACGGAGACACTGGGACCAGCACAGACTCCGCGCCGGCGCTGGCACAGCTCGGTCCGACTGGCGAGCCATCTGTCGACGCGAGCGGAAGGCTCGACTTCACTCGCTGTACACCAGGTTGGTGACCTCCACCTGGACGTACTGCGTGGAGTCGTCCATGTCCGACATATGTGCCATCGGATCCATGTTTTGCCGGTTCGGGTTGTTTCTTCCGCTGCAATTCGACAACCCATATAACAGAGCGCATTCGCAAGGCCGTTACCGGAAATTACATGTTAACAAAGCTTCAATTATCCAACTGTTATACATATCTGAAGCCACAATGAGGCAAAAATAGGGGTTCTCCCTATTAACAGGGAGGAAAACAATGCACACACAGGGAGTCAATGTTGGCACTTTAATTTCCACGTAACTGGGAAGAACTTTGTTTGCCAGCATAGACAACCTGCTCATTCATCTTCAAGCAAAACTACCATTGTATGTTAGTGTAGATCATAAGGCTTTACATGCTATCATAGGTTAGTCAAGTCACTGACATTGGGGGCACATCCAGGATGGAGGCACCAAGATGGAATCTGGCGGGGACAACCTGACGTAAAAGTGACGTTTGGAAAGGGAAAAGTGCAGTCTATGGGCAAACCTAGAGAACAAAACCTATTTCAGAACATTGCGACTCGGTGGCACATCCCCCAATCCTCCAGCGGCAACCACCACACATGCTATTAACCTTCAAACACGACACTTCATCAAACGAATTTGCAGCCACCTCCCGCGCGGGACGACATCCGCAGGACGTCGTCCGGCCGCACCCCTGTCCCATCTGCCACCCACTCACTTGGCCTTGGCGTGGGTGAGTATGTGCGACTTGAGGTTGGTGGACTGGGCGAACTTCTTGCTGCACCCATCGAACGGGCACACATACGGCCGGTCGCCAGTGTGGATGCGCACATGGGTCCGCAGGTTGAAGTCCAGCGAGAATCGCTTTCCACAGCCTTCGAATGTACACTGCAGGGCGGGCACCACGGGGCGTCGGTCGCGGCGCGTAATGGCCGCATGTCACGTGCCAAAGTTCAGCACATTTTCGTATGTTAAATTGCACGATATCCAGAGAACAAACGCGGATCTGACCGAACTACTTTGACTTACGACAGTCGTACGCCTCGACAAAAACCCCGCGTCTCTAACACCATACCTCACGTTAGAACAGCGTCTATTTTCTACAGCCCAATGCCGTCCGAAGCCCATTCCCCGAGCAGCCGACCGAGCGCCAGCCCCGCCCGGACGTCCCGGGTGGCGGGCGCCAGCTCACCTGGAACGGCTTCTCCCCGGTGTGCACCAGCTGGTGCCGCTTCAGTTTGGAGCTCTCGACGAACGCCTTGCCACACTCGGCGCACACATGCACACGCGGTCCGTGCGTGTGCAGGTGCTTCCGCATGGCCGAGTTGTCGCGGAACATCTTGGAGCAGCCCTGCGGCACAGCTGCCGGTCAGCGTCGGCCTGCCAGACGTGGGCGGCGAGCGAGGGGCCTCTAACCGGTGACCTCTGACCTCTGACGCTAACCGCTGACCTTAGAGCCTTCAGGGGTCAACAGTACCACATGCATTTGGGCAGCCTTGTGTGGACAGGTGAAAAGTACATGTAGTCTATGCAAATGGTCAAGGACTGACTTCAGCCCCTGTACAACATCGAGCTTTGGCATTTCCTCTCAAGATTGGTGCTGGGGGAATCGACTCCCTTTTAACTCTCATTTTTCAGTCAATGTTTTGAAAATCAGTCAGTAAAGGAAGAGATATACCACACCAATGTGACAAGATACAGATACTTAATATAGCTAGTGTATGCCACTTACCTTTGCAGTCTATGTATGGCTGGCATCTCCAATGACCTTTGCTGAGCCCCCTCCACTATCCCACCTGGTCCATGAGGGGCCATGCAGGACACACAACCTTGTCTGGACAACCAGGCATTGACCTCACCACATGTGGATTGCTCAGTATTGAACTCACCTTGTGTGGACAGGCAATGGTGCGCGGCGCATCGTCTGTCTGCTTCTTGGGCTTAATGCGCGCGAATTCGGCCAGCTGCTTGGGGTCGGATAGATCTAGCCCCGGGATGCCCTCAGCCGGGATCTTCTTGCCCATCATGTACTCGGTGTAGTCGGGGTCGGGCTCTGGGGTACTGGCATCATCCACTGACAGCGGGTCTCTCGAACATTCATCTGGTGGCAACCAACACGCACTGGTCAGATGGGTAGTCAGAGTCAGGCTCCACGGTCAGGCGTTGCCCCACAGCAGGAGCACAGCACCAGGACCTGGAGAGCACAGCACGCAGCACTAATTCAACAACAAACATGCACCACAACTGATTAACATCACCTAACGCATGATCCGCGAACAAATACTTACATTTGGTACACTAGGTGGCAGTGCGACGGCATAGTTCACGGTTTGGCGGCCAGGCGGCGAACCACCACCAAGGTCAATACGCGGTGGTGTCCTGCGCATGCGCATGGCTGGGAAAATTTAACCGCAACAAGTTCTGAGAGCTTGGCAATCCTGGCAACCAGTTCAAGGTCGAACAACGTTTTGAATGCAAAAATGTCCCAAATATTACGAGAAATATTCATTAAGCACTAAGAACACGGCAATCTTACATCTTTCGACACCACAAGCAAAGGCGAGTCTTTTTTGCCCAGCTCTAGAAAATACGTGCAAAGTACCCACGCGGCGGACAAATATGTGACGGCTAGCGCATGGATGCAAAGCCATCAGTCCTTTGTTTAAATCTTGATACATTTTGGGCCAAATAGGAAAAAACATACCCAACAAGGATACATAACCACGAAGAGCGTGAAAGACCGACTGGCACCCGTCGTGATGGTAGTAATGGCGGCCGCGACGCATGGTGGCCGCCATGATGGTTTTCGGCCATGTTGCCTTTGAATATGGCTGCGCCCATGGGTTGATTGTATATGGCCGACCAAAATATAAACAAACCAAATTAAGCTTAGATCCAGGGGCAACACAGATTGCCTGCAAGGCTTAGAGGGAGTACTGGAATCGATTGAAACGTTTCGAGTCCACAGCGTCGACGTATGGACAAAGAACACACGAAGGCTTACCGTAATCGGCGCCAGAAGACCACATCGTCACACTGAATCACCCTCCAGTGTTTTGATCTTAACTTGTTTCTGCTCCCATTTCTTGACGATCCCTCCGCATAAGTATAATCATTTTTACATCGTGCTGCTTTTAAAGCAGTCTGTCGCCGACGAGCGCTCAAGCTTCTCTTCGAAAAGTTGGTGCCATAGTCAAGATCAAGTTCTGCTTCTGTTGGCACCGGTATATCGTAGTTTATGTCGTCTGCGCCGTCCCCAACAATCTCTTCCTGTGTCTGCAGAATTATTTCTTCGCTCCAGGCTCGTGCAAAGATTGAAAGGCGATCATTTGGGTACCTTCCACTGAGTCCACCGGCATCTCCACAGGAATCGATTCTATTTCAACCTCCTGCAGCTCCGGTTTGATTTCCATGCCACTGAGCACGTCAGATGACGCCATGCTGATAGGTACGAATGCATATACGTTTTCCCAGTGGGCACCCTTTCGCGACACAATCACGAACGGTGTTACCACTTGCACCACACACACCCACCAGCGAGGCGACCGTGACTGCCGCAGCACAACATGAAACTCCGTGTGGTCTGTCGGACTGCGCGACATCTAGCGTACAAGATAGTAAACGCTACTTTGTGCTTCGTCTATAGGTGGGAGGAGTGATATTGGATTTGAAATGATGTTTTGGGCTTGCATCATGTTGCCTGGTAATTTGCGGACCGGCGTTCTGAGAGCTGAAATGTCTGTCTCCCAGATGCTACATATTGACAATAGGCTTTGGATCGCCAATACGTTTCGGCAAAAGCACGATCAAGTCAGCCTTGAGGCAAGAACCTCGAAATATGTTTTTATGTACTTTCGGGGAGGGGCTGAGCTCCCCATTGCTGACTTAAGCGCCCCCCCCCCCCCCTCCCTTAGTGCTCGTCCAAGTCTCCCAATGCATTTGAGAAAAGTGAGAATACTGCGCATATGAAATTTAGGAAGTGTCTGGACTGCTGGTAACTTAATTTAAACTTATTTAAATGCGTCCCCATCGATATGATCTTCATATCATCTTCACTATCACATCAGCACCAAAGGGGGAAGCGTTTTCCACAATACCAAAACAGTTTTTGAACTAAACGATTCTAAGGCATTTTCTCTTTTAATCTTGACAGTAGGGTCGCAAATCACAGAAGTCAAAATCCAGGACGAAGCCGGAGTCTTGGGGCAGGTGATGACAATTTTATTGGTCCAGCCTTCCAACCAATGTTAGAAAATTGCACCTTGGGTACCTATGTTTTGATACACCATGTAGGAGGTGCTGATGGAGCCATCAGCCCCGTGATCCCCTGCTGGGAAGCTGGGTATAGTGCCAGGCAGGGATCAAGTCCAGTCGCACTTGGGTTCGAGCTCGGGCGCTTCAGGACTATGACTGAATTGAATGGAGGTGAAAGTGAACCGATTTGCTTTACGAACGAATCCCATCCTGTGTTAAATGTCATATTAGTTTTTTCTGAAAAATAGGAACCAACGATAAACAAACCATACTCCTTGCATGACACGGAGCCTTGCTGGAGACGTAAAGCAAATGCATGCTACGTTTCACCGGTTCACTGTCCTCGAAATTAGTACACTAAGAATTGAACTTGGACACGAATCCGAGCTCAGGACTGGAAGTCGCATTAAACTGTATAAAGCATGGTACTTGAATTAAGGTTGCGCTCTTACGGAACATTCAACGATGGAACACTAAAACATTGGTACAGATGTGCAAACAAAGCACATGTTTTAAAAGAAAGACCTTGGTGCTGGGGTATGCCCTGGTCTTTGCGGCAACATTGGATCGCGTGAGGTAGTAAGTCAAAGTTATTTTGGTCGTTTTTTGGTAAGCTCTGTCGTGTTCGGTGACGGTTTATTGGCCTGGGCTCTAGTGCGAAGACTTAGATCCGTCCATTCAAACTTTATAGAGGCATTGGCACATGATGTTGACGGCAATTCCCGATCCGACTCGACAAAACATTCCTGCTCGATTTCTAGATTAAAGTAATGTGGAGGCTCCTTTAAGTTATTACCAGAAGTTATATGATCGGCGATATGCAGCCGCCCACTACGAAATTGTGTCCCTCATCTTTGTGCCGTATAGGACGGTGTGTGATATTAAGCCTTGCCCTAAATTAACATCTTTGTTTGTTTGGTTATGTGAGAATGTGGAAGACTCGGACGCAGACCCAGACTCGGACTTGTGCTCAGCTTCGCGGGACTTTCGAACACTCAGGATCATGTTTCAGCGGAACCACTCCATCACTGCGGTATTTTGACCTCTTGATTCGAACAAAATAGTGGACGCTGGCTTGCACTGATTAATTCTAAAAGTACGGTATTGTAAAAAAAAAGTACGGCACTGCAAGCTGCAGCTGCACGAGGGCCAGCTCGCGGGCTCGGTGCTGCGGCGCCCCAAACCCAGCGCGGCTCACTGCCGTCAGTGATGGCCGTGTTTGCTGTTCCGGACATGCCGTCGTGGCGTGGCCATAATGTATACAAGGGCGGTCTCATCAGCCAGTGCAGATGTCCGTATCTGTAACATTAGCCACGGCTTCTCTGTCTCTAGACCGGTATGCTAGCATAAACCAACTCATTTCAAATGAGTTCCATTGTTCATACCAGGGTGTCGGGATAGGTGCACCCACGTCAAGAACGCCCTGCTCACATCCATATGGTCAATAATGCTCAGAAAGCAACGACATAATCTAAATGGTTTTCCGCATTACCTTTCTAAGCACAGGACTAGGCTTCACGTGCGTATTATTGACCGCTCTGTCACACAAGTTTAAGAACTCCTGGCGCTCAAACATCAAAAAGCTTAGGAAGGACATGGGATTATTTTTGGTCACGCAAATGTATATACAACCACGTTATGAGCTCTCAGTTTACACAGCATCTCTTTTCGGCAGCTACTGATGAATCAGGCTAGCGTATGTACCAAGTGCATTGGCTTTGACGCGCGCCCGGGTGGCCGGTTGGATACCCTTCGCATGGGTGGAGGTCAACTTGAACTTCCTCAGATCTCAGAAACTAAGGAAGCTAGAGATACTAAATTCACAGGGTGTGTTGACCTGTACGTGAAATTACTTGGGTCAAAGTATGAGGTTCTTAGGTTATGACGTTTTGGTCAAATAAGGTCAAACAAGGTCAAACTCCAGGTTGGTCTCCAAAGATCCCCTAGAGCCTAGATAACAGTTCTAAGGAAAAAGTCACATGCCCATTCAAGGTCAGTGACCCTGTTTGACCTTTTGAAGGCATGGTGATCAAAATCATACGAGACTGCTTTGAGTTTTGCATTTGAGTAAGCGGCAAAGATTACGCTAGGCAGTATGTTCATAAAACAACACGTTGACCTGGGACATTTTAAGTGTGGTCTATCGCGACCAGTGACTTCTCCTGACCTCTAAGAAGTCCATGGAAGGTGTATAATGCGGTGCCTGTTATCAATAAATTCGAAATGAGCGCCAAAAATTCCCTCATACAGCAAGCCCTACAGTGATGAAACTGATTGCTTTTGACCTTGGTCCGACCTCATATCTGACCCTAGGCCACTGTAATTTGTTCATTCAACTGTTTTGTTGCCTAAGAAAGTATCTTAGAGATGTATGGCTCCGTTTAACACTCCCTTGTTGGATCAGATTGAGCGATTCCCTAGAAATTGCATTTGCTGAAACCGTGGCCTGACTTTGACCTGCCATAAGCCGGCGACCTTACATAGAACATATAAACTGTTGATGCCAGACGACCGGCTGTTTAGTTGTTACAGCTCTTCATCTTCAAATTTTGGCGCGGCTACGCCGCGCCGTTCGGAAACCATTCCGGAAAAACCCTTGGGGGTCAATTTGACCCCCACCCGAGCGCGTGTTAATAGAAGGTGGCGGTGGGATTTCAGCGCTTCATAGCGCTGCTAGCGTTGTCGCGTCTCGTTAGGCCATAAGACAGCGACGCCTTGGGCAGCAGGAACCGGTGCAGAAGCCGTGATACTTCCGTCGTCTCTGTTGTTGGGGTCGAAGCGTTTTTGTAATTGCAAAGTCCACCTGATCTTGAAAACTGGATCAGCCGAACAGGTGTTGGATCTATTTCTTTATTATCTGACTTTGCAATGAAATTTGAGGTAGTACCCTGTCCCAGGTTGAGACGAGGAACGTGGTCAATTGCATGCAATTGTGCGCTGAATGATAAATTTCTGCTTGCTAAATTTAATT